GGATCTCTTCTATCTTCTATTTGCTCCTCTCAGATAAATTCTCTCCCTTCTTTTTCTTCCTTGCATTCACCCCCAGATAGGCCATGTATTCTCATGGCTCTGTGTCCTTTGACAACATACTACCTTGTATTTGCTTTGTCTCTTTATATGCCTACTTCCTTTTCATTTCTTCACATCTTGGAATTGAATACTCCCTTCCCAAAGTGTCAGCTGTCCCTTTCGCCCCAGGCTTTCTTTTTGAGCTGAAACAAGTGGTTTCCAAACTTCGTTGACCACAACCTATAGTAAAAAATATATTTTATGGTGTGACTTAGAACATATATATACACACTCATCAACACACACCTGAAACAGCAGTTTCAGGAACTACCCTTACCATTTCTAGGTGTCCTGTACTCTGAGTTTTTTTCCTATCCTGTTTTATTTTTAGAATGTTGGTTATAACTCAGTATATTGCTGGACCAAAGGACAGGGATATTCATAATTTTGTTAGGATGTTGATATATTGTTCTTCATAAAATTGTACCAGTTTCTACTCCTACCAGCAATGTATGAGAGTAATGTCAAAGCTGATGTTATAAGTGTTCTGAAAATTCTACCCCTAGAGTATGTGACTCATTAGTGTGTTCAAACTTGAGCAACACATGTCCTGCCTGGGGATAGAGTAGCTTGTGCTTTAACTCCTTTTTCAGTAGTAGTAGGAGAGGGAAAAAAAGAAGCCTGTGGGTTAGTTGAACATTTATTAGAATTCTATCTTGATTTATCTATAATTTTTTATCCCTCTCTCTTTGAATAGTAGTTGTGTGTTTGCTCTAGGCATTATATTGTGTATATATAACTTATTACAGTCTACTGGTAAATCCACTTTACCCCTCTCTCCCATTTCTAATATAATTGTTTTTTATATTTTTCTCTGTATACATTGAGAACCATATTAGACAGTGTTAGAATTTTTGCTTTAACCATTGAAGATAATATAGAAGACTTAAGAGAAGGAAGATCTATTGTATTTATCCATGTTCTTTTTATCCTCACCCGAGGACATTTTTCCATTTTTTGTTCAGATAGAGTGAGAGGAAGAGAGAGGAAGAGAGAGGAAGAGAGAGAGAGAGAAACATTGATGTGAAGGGGCACATCGAGTGGCTGCCACCCGCACAACCAACCAGGGCCAGGGACAAAACTGCAACCGAGGTACATGCCCTTAGCGGGAACCAAACCCGGGTCTCTCTGTACCGCAGGCCCACGCTCCAACCGCTGAGCCAAACCGGCCAGGGCTATCCATGTTCTTATTCTTACCATTTGCCCTTTCTGATTTTCCATTACTCTTTCCTTTATGTTTTTTTGTTTTGGTTTGGTTTTTAATTTTTTTTTTTTTTTTTATCCTCACCCGAGGACATTCTTCCATTTATCTTGAGATAGTGCAGGAGGGAGAGAGGGTGGAAGAGAGAGAGAGAAACATTGATGTGAGAGAGACACATTGAGTGGTTGCCACCCACACGACGCCAATCAGGGCCAGGGACAAACTGCATCCGAGGTACATGCCCTTAGTGGGAACCGAACCCTGGCCTCTCTGGTCCGCGGGCCGATCCTCTAACCGCTGAGCCAAACCAGCCAGGGGTCTTTCCTTTATGTTTGAAGAACCTCTATTAGTCATTCTTTGAGGGTAGGACTGCTGACAACAAGTTCTCTTAGTTTTCCTACATCTTTGAATATTTTCATTTCCCTCTGTTCAGAAGGATATTTTGTCTGGATATAGGATTCTGGTTTGACAGTTCTTTTCTTTTAGCACTTGAAAAAATGTTTCTGGACACCAAAACTATGAATATATATTGAAATTTAAAGTGTTTATTAACTGTGACCATAATGGTCTAAGCGTTATAACATTTTATTCTAAATTGTAATTAATATGAGTACAACATAGTGTGTTATTGATTTGTTTTATTATAAAATTACTAAACATAAATACATCTGTCTCTTCAGAGTGAACTTCTATTTTCATGGAATTTTGTATCCATGGGTAAATATTACTTATGTTAGAATGAGACTGGTTCCAATGGAAATTAGTAATAAAAGGAAGAGATATTTGGCCATTAGTAAGTGTGAGGTTTACAAAAGATTTATTGATAATTTTGTTAAGTATATCATTTACATAAGTTGCAGTATATGCTTGCCAAATTAGTTTATATCAAATAAATCCATACAGGAATTAAAAACTGATCAGAGTAATACTTGTCCAGGTTAAAAAACAAACAAAACAAAACATGGATTTATTGTGTCCAGTATTCTTTGGCAAAAGTTAACAATGTTTCTTAGTAAATGTTCAAGAAAATATAAAACACTAACTTTGGTGTATATTACTTTTGCTTGAAGATAGACCTCTTGTGAACTCCTTGAAATCATACAAAATATCTTTAAGTCACAGACATAAGACAAAGGTGGTTGGTAGAATGTATTAACTTCTTTTTCATTTCTCTGATAATGGTTAAAGTGCAGATCTTGAGTTCTAATTCAAGATGCTTCCCAGATCTTGAATTCTAAATAATTCTAGTTAAATTATATAAGGTGTCTGGCCATAAGTTTTTAACCTGGGTGAACTAAGTTGTTGCTGTCTTTAATATTTATTATCACTGTTATCATTGGATTTTCTCTCAGGTGAGCTGCTTCTTAATCAAGTTTGTTTTATTCTTATCTCCTAAAGTTTCAACAGCCCATTGGGACCAAAATATCTCCTTTTTAATGTCAGAGAATTGACCTTAACGGAAATGTATGGGACAGGGAAAGACAAAACCACCTTGGATATATGCATGGTGATTCCATTAAAGGTTACCACCCCTCTCCCATGTCAATATTTCAAAAGATTTCTTTGGTGTTCTGGATGTTTCTACATCTCAGGGAAATGCATTATAGTGAGATTTTAGATGTGTGAGAGAGAAATCTTTCTCTGGTGAATGGGAAGAAGGAGGATTATAGAATCAAAAGTAGAAAAAGAGAAACCAGCATGATGCTCTGACCTTGTTATTCTAGTAACTGGTTGGTAACTATGGAAATTAAGTTTCTGAACATTGATTCCCTTAAAACCATCTGGTCCCCAGTGTAAAGACTGTGGAATTAAGGTTAATCTTTCATCACTACATTATAGTTTTGAATCATCTGTGTAATATTCATTTGCTTTTTATTTTCATAACTATTTTAATTTCTTTAAGGATCTTCATTATAGTGCACTAATTACTGGGATTTCTCTGTGCTCTTTGGGAGAGGATTCTTTTCCATTCTTCCTTAGTATGTTCCTCAGTGGAATAGTTTTTTATGCTTCCTTTTTGTCCAGCTTTAACGTGATTTTTAAAAAAAGTTTGCAGTCCACTCTCCTCAGGTTTTGATTTTTTTCTATTGCATCAGATTTTGTCTGGTTTTTGGTTTTTCATTCGTTCAAAAAACAAGATAGGTTGCAAAAATATAGTTGCCACAGGGTATCAATCTCCATTATATTTCAGTGACTAAAACTCCACTAGGGCAGGAATTTGGTGTTTTCTTCACCATTGGGTGTGTAGAAACTGTCATAGTGAGTGAGTGAATGAGTGAGGAACATACTTTCTTCAGCTCTTTCCTCTAGTTAAAAAAGAAGTAACCAGCCCTGGCCAGATTGTTCAGTGGTTAGAGCTCAGCCCATGGACCAGTGAGTTGAAGGTTCAATTTCGGAAGGGCATGTACCTGCGTTGTGGTTTGTACCCGGCCCCTAGCCCTGGTCAGGGTGGTGTGAGAGGCAACCAGTCAATGTGTCTCTATCACATCAATGTTTCTCCCCCCCCCCCCATCTCCCTTCCTCCTTCCCACTCTATCTGATGATAAACAGTTGTAAAGTCAAGTTGTAAAGTCGTTTGTTTTTGTTAATTAATAGTTAAAATAGTACTTTTCTGATAGGTCATTAAAATGTGTTTAATATTGTGTAAGAGGTGTTAACATTTCTGATAATTTTATTTTAATCATTAACAAAAATTAATGGTGATGTTTGAACTATCTATAAGATCATACTAGAAATATAGGGTAATAGAAGCACCTACCTCATAGGGATGTTACAAAGATTGAATTAGCTAATATGCGTAAAGCACTTAGAACAGGGCTTCACACACAGTAAAGTGCTTGGTAACTATTAATTAGTCATTGAAAATGGTACCAAGACTGATTTTTTCCCCTGTCATTCTGCAGAAGGGCCATGATGGTCAGCTGATCAGTTCATCCATCCATAGGGAGACTGGCTTTATTGTTCCAGGGCAATCTTCCCTGGCCCTTGCAAAAGTCCCCTGAAAAGATCCTCCACAAGGACTTTCCCTCAGCTTCCTTCTCAGACAGAGCCTTGTGGCTAGGGGGCTGGGAAGAACTTCAGAGTGGCTAATACGTTGTTGTCAAGTGGTAAGGGTTTAGAATGGGTTCTGCTTCTCAGCCTGGTGTGACTCTGGGCAAATTGCTTTACTGTTACTTTCCTCCCTGGTCATCTCATCTTAGAGATGCCTTCTCTCATCCCTTTTCCTACTCTGAGCATCCATACTGGACTTCTTTTACTTCCACACAATGCCATATTCCTCCAGCCCTTTGAACACGTGATTCCCTTTGGCTGAAATACGTTCTTTCTCCCCTCCCTCGTGCATTATTTGGCCAGAACCTACTTGTACTTGCATTACCCCTGCCCCATCCCTTTTCCATAAGGGAGGCCTTCTCTACCCAGTTTTCACCAGATTGGTTTGCATATTTGCCATGCTTCCTCTTCACACCATCATGATTCATTCCTAAAGCTTTTCATCCCATTTGGGGTTGCCCTACAGACTGAGCTCCCTGAGTGTGAAGGGATCTGATGTTTATTGCTACATCTCCAATTCCAATTAATGTTGTATACATAGATCGGGGAGGGGGGGGAATTGGAGGTATTGTTGCTTAGAATTTGGTTAACACTATTTCCACAGCTGCCTTTGTTTTACAGAATTTTTATTTTTTATTTTCCTGTAAAGCTGCCGAAACTTAGAAGCTGATTCTGTCACAGTGTAAGATGCCTTTGGAAAATTCTGCATTCCTCTTAGATGAATCTTTAGAAGTTGGTGTGTTTCACTAGATATCTTCAGTCTTCATTTTGAGCTCAGAGGTATGCTATCTTTTTTTTTTCTTTTTTTCATAATTATTGGGTATAGTGAGTCTTGAAATCTGGCAAGGAGTATAGGACAGAGTATTATAAATATATTTAGGCCATGATCTGTTTACCTTGCTTGATAGTCTTTAATTGTCTTTAGAAATTTTAGTCTTATGAGGAGTAGAAAGTTATTCATTGGTAAGATAAGGTATTCATTGATATCCAGATGTAAAGCATTTTCACCAATTCCTGGAATTTTTAAAATTTACTGCTCAGAAGTAAGAATTATAACTTTTTGTCTTTTTGACTGAGATAAAGAAAGATAATTTACAAATGACTAAAAAGTAGAATAAGAATTATTTCCTGTCAGATTTTAGGTTTAGAGATAAAGAATCAGTTGATTAAGGTAAAAAAAAAAAAGGGGGCCAGTTACCTACTGCAGCTCCAGCTTACAAATAAGTCTTTCCACCAGGGGTGTGCACACACTACCCATCCAGCCCACTGCCTGTTTTCTTGTGGCCCGTGAACTAAGAAAAGTGTTTATGTTGTTAAATGGTGGGGTAAAAAAAATCTTAAAAGAAGAGTACTACTTTATGACATGAAAATTATATGAAACTCAGATGTTAGCATATGTGAATAATTATATGAAATTCAGATGTCAGCATCTGTGAATAAAGCTTTTTATTGGAACACAGCTACTGTTATTTTTTTACATATTGTGTATGGCTGTTTTCAAGCAGAAGTGGTTGAGTTAAGTAGTTGCATTAGAGACCTGAGGGCCCAGAAAGCCAAACATTTATTATGTGACCTTTCCAGAATAAGTTAGCTGACTTCTGCTCTACGTGTTTAGAGAAGTATTTATAAATTGGATGCTAAGGTTAAAGAGATGAGTGGGAGGAAATCAGAGAGAGGTGAGAGTCAGTACCAACTCTCAATGACTTATTTATATTACTTATACATTTTTCTGTCCTGGAAAGTGTAACCCATATTCTAATTACACTGGCATGTGTTGCTGTTTTAAAAGAGAAAATAAATCAAGAGAAATCGATTCTCCTGTTACTTTTCATCTAAAAGGAATGTATATAGATAGAAAATTAGTACCCTGTTTCTACGAGGATTTACTGTTACCATAATATCTTAAGCTCTTAAAAGATTATTTATGCCCGACCAGTGTAGCTCAGTGGTTGAGTGTTGACCCATGCACCAAGAGGTCGCCAGTTCAATTCCTGGTCAGGGCACGTGCCCAGGTTGTGGGCTCCATCACTGGTTGTGGGGGGCATGCAGGAGGATGTTCTTGCTCATCGATGTTTATCTCTTTCTCACCCTCTCACTTCCTCTCTCTCTAAAATCAATAAAGATAAAGAAAAAATTTAAAAGATTATTTATACCTTTTGAACAGTTGCTTTTTTTCTAATGTATGGGGATTATATATATTTTTTTTGTGTGTGTGTTTTTTGTTAATCCTCACCCGAGGATATTTTTCCATTGATTATTTTTTAGAGAGAGGGTGGGAGGGAGGGAGAGAGAGAGAGAGAGAAAAACATTGATGTGAGAGAGAGACATCGATCTGATGCTTCCTGCACGACCCTGATGGGTGTTGGGGATCAAATCTGCAACCCAGGCACATGACCTTGACTGAAAATCAAACCTGAGACCCTTAGGTCCTCGGGCCGACACTCTGACCACTGAGCCAAACTGGCATTGCCTATTATTTTTAAGTGAAAATGCTAGTATGTTATTTTGAAAATTGTTGGTGACTCACTCAATGTGGGGATGGAGGTACATGGTCTTTTTTGGAGTCTATGAATAGCCTAGGAGGATAATCTTAAGGGACTATTCTGCAGGGACAAAGACAGGTTAAGTCCTAAATTAGGAGATAAAAGACCACAATTGTACTACTATCTTTCTTGTCCCTCTAGAACACTTAATAGTTTTGTGACTCTGGAAATATTTACCACTATAAATTCTAGTTCTTTATTTTCAAAATAGGGGGAAATAATACCTGTCAAGATTTACTAAATTATAGTTTTCCTAGGATTATATATTATGCCTATTTTTTTTAAATTTAATTAATTTATTTTTGTTACAGATGTTTCTCCTTTTTCCCCCACTGATACCCTTCTGTCCCTCCCTCCCCACCCTGTCTCCAGCTTCGTTGTCCATGTTCATTGTTCATGCATACATGCATATAAGTTCTGTGGTTAAACTCTCCTTCCCACCCCCTCTTCTGGGGATTGTCAGCCTGTACCCCACTTCCACATCTCTGGGACTACCCTGTTTCTCAGACTGTTATGTTCATTATATTCCACAAATAAGTGAGATCATGTGACATTTGTCTTTCTCTGCTTGGCTTGCTTCGCTTAGGATAATACTCTCCAGGTCCCTCCATGTCGTCTCAAAGGATAAGAGATCTTTCTTTCTTACAGCTGCATAGTACTCCACTGTGTATACGTACCACAGCTTTTTTATCCGTTTGTCTACTGATGGACGTTTGGGCTGTTTCCAGATCTTAGCTATTGTAAATAGTGCTGCTATGAACATGGGGGTACATATATTCTTTCTGATTGGTGTTTCAGGGTTCTTAGTGTATATTCCTAGAAGTGAGATCGCTGGGTCAAATAGAAGTTCAATTTTTAAGGTAACATCATATTGTTTTCCATAGTGTCTGCACCAGTCTGCATTCCCACCAGCAGTGTACCAGAGTCCCCTTTTCTCCACACCCTTGCCAACACTTGTTGTTTGATGATTTGTTAACGGCGGCCATTCTGACAGGTGTGAGGTGATACCTCATTGTTGTTTTAATTTGCATCTCTCTGATGATTAACGATGTTCAGCATTTCTTCATATGTCTCTTAGCCATTTGTATGTCCTGTTTGGAGAGGTGTCTATTTAGTTCCTCTGCCCATATATTATGCCTATTTTTTAAAACTTCTGGATCCCCTTAGCTGTCATAGGCATGGGTCATAGTTGGCACACAGTCAATGCTTGTTAAGTGAAAGAACAAAATGTGTTGTAGTCTAATAACTTATCTATGCACAATCACAGTAGTACCAGTTTTTTTTAAAGGCTTGCTTATTGAGCCCTGGCCAGTTTTGCTCAGTAGTTTGAGCATTGGCCCATGGACCAAAGAGTCACGGGTTTGATTCTGGTCAAGGGCACGTACTTGGTTGCAGTTTGTCCACGGCCCTGGATGAGGATTTAAAAAAATAAATAAAGGCTTGCTATTGGGATTGGGTGTTTTTGTTAACTGTAGGAGAGAATTTTGTTGAAAACAGTGATTTTCTCTGGATTCATTCTTTACAGTTAGTCATCAAATCATTTACCAGATTTATTTGTCTAAGTTGATTATATATTGTTATTTTTTGAAATCTTAAGAGACTAGATGAACCACTAATCCAAGAATTACCAATCTTGAAGAAAAGTCAAAGCCACCTCATTATAAAGCTATAAAATGTATACATACTAAAAGCCGCTGTTGGATAGGAAGACAGATACGCTCATCCAAATCTTCTGCAACTTTTCTCAACTCTTCCACTGAACCTCTTTTTTTTTCCATCCTCACCTGAGGATATGTTTATTGATTTTAGAAAGAAGAGAGGGAGGGAAGAAGGGAGGAGGGAAGAGAGAGAGAGAGAGAGGCACATTGATGTGAATGTGAGCAGGAAACGTCGATTGGTTGCCTCCCTTCCAAGCCCTGACCTGGATCAAAACTGTAACCTAGGTATGTGCCCTGACTGGGAAATCAAACCCACAACGTTTTGGTGTATAGAATGATGCTCCAACCAACTGAGCCACTCGGCCAGGGCTAAACCTCTTTTATTTATTCATTTATTTTTTTTTATCCTCACTCGAGGACACTCTTTTCCATTTTTTTGTTCAGATAGAGTGGGAGGGAGAGAGAGGAAGAGAGAGAGAGAGAAACATCGATGTGAAAGGGACACATCGAGTGGCTGCCACCCATACGACCAACCAGGGCCGGGGACAAACTGCAACCGAGGTACGTACCCTTAGCGGGAACCGAACCCGGGTCTCTCTGGACCGCAGGCTGACGCTCTAACCGCTGAGCCAAACCGGCCAGGGCTGGACCTCTTTTTTTAATGAAACTTCCCTATATAATTAGCTGAAGAATCCAACTTTTAAAATCTTACCTTGCAGAATACCTTGTAAAGATAAGATAGTTTAAAAGATATTTAACTGCCCTGGCCAGTTTGGCTCAGAGGTAGAATGCCGGCCCGTGGACCAATGAGTCACCAGTTCAATGCCAGTCAAGGGCACGTACCTTGGTTTTGGTTCGATCCCTGGCACTGGTCAGGATTGTGCAGGAGGCAGCTGTTGATGTGTCTCTCTCACATTGATGTTTCTTTCTCTCTCCCTCCATCCCACTCTATCTGAATTTCTCAATGGAGAAATATCCTCCAGTGAGGATTAAAACAAAAAAGGTATTTAGCTGAAGAAAACTTGTAAATTAAAGGAGTTTAGGGAGATATGATAGCTAAATGCAGTATATAACCCTGGAAACCCTAAAGGACTTAATTAGCTCAGTTAAAAAAATTGGAAAATGGACATTAAATAAAAATAGTTTATAATTTTTAGATTTCCTGAAGTTAGTAACTGTCCTATGGTTAATTAAGAGGACGTCTTTGTTCTTTGGAGATACACATTGAAGTTCTTAGGGGTAAATGGGCATGATACATACAAATTACTCTCAAATGGATCAAAAGATATGCTTGTATACGATAAAGAGTATGATGCAAATGTTAAAACAGTTGGTGGATCTGGCTGTAGTATATATAGGAGTTCTTTGAACTATTTTTATATTTTTCTGGAAGTTTGTAATTATTTCCAAGTAAAATGTTTAAAGAAATGTCTTTAGCAGTTATCAAAGATACCTGGAAATTATGTGCAAATACTGTGGCTCACGTCAGCGTTTCTCTCTCTCTCTCTCTCTCTCTCTCTCTCTCTCTCTCTCTCTCTCTCTCTCTCCCCCTTTCTCTCTCTGTAAAATTAATAAAAAC